CATCATGACCATATATAGGCACATCATGACCATATATAGGCATATCATGAGTATATGCAGGGACGGATCCAGAATTTTTCAAACGGGGGGGGGGGCACAACATATTCAGAATAGATAAGTGAGAGTGCTAATTTCAATATATGCCTTGAAATTTTAAAATTTAGTGGCAAAGCGGGGGGGGGGGGGTACTGTATATTAATTATTCTATATAAATATAGCATAAACTAAGGATGCAAACAGTCATAATTTAATTAATATAAGGAGACTTATTAGACAGTTAGCAAGTAGATGTAAACTCCTACGGATGCAAATTTAATCTGCAAATCACCTGAAATCCTCTGTCGTAATCCAAGTAGGAATGGAAATAACTGGGGTGTCATGAAGAAAAAAATAATGAACCAAGTTCTTCAGCAAAATAATATAAGGATTTATCACTTATATAGGCCAATGGAATTTTGTAATTTTGCCCAAGCATAGTGACATCTAAAGATAACGTTTATTAGCACTCTCAGGTTTATATCCAACTATTACTTACACCATGCATTTTGAATGGTAAAATGGTTTAAACACAGATAAAATATTATTTAAAGCTTGAAAATAACATCAAATAATTGAAATAATCTGTTTTCAAATATATATAATATCAATATTATTGATGGGAATAAAAATAATCAATTTTATTCCATACAAGTATTTTGGTTTAGTGGAAGAAAGTTTTTGCGAAAATGGATGCAGCAAACCTTAAATTTTCAGGTTTTTTTTGTCTTTAAGACAATAATTAAGTCTGCTATTACAGTTGTTGCCCAATTCCTAAATAAATGAATACAAATTTATAAAAAAAAAAAAAATTCTCAGTGTGACTAACTATACTCAGCATACTTAAATTTCAGTTAACGAATAAAAGCTTCCGTTAACTTCAAGAAAAACATGAGAAATACTACATGACGATCAACTCTTTCAATCATCAGCTCATGTCCATTCCTGATTAACACTAATTTAATTTGATATCTAGGCATGCATTACATCACCCTCCAAAGTAATGTTCCTAATATAATTATGAATCATCTTCATGGAAGTCTGATGAAAACATAAGAACAAAGTTAACATTGAATCATGTCATTCATGATTTAGTGACCACTTCTTAGTTTATTTCCAACAATGATGATAACTTTTCTTCAGAATTATTGAGATTATAAA